ATCTGGGGAGGAACACTATATTTTTAGACAGGCTAAATGAGACAATGACAGTGGTAAGCAGTGAAAAGGGAGAAGGGAAAGAAAGACAGACGGCAAGAAAAGCAAAAAGGAGAGGGGGAAAATGAAGGGGAGGGGCGGAGGGAGAGAGTGACTGTTTCCTTGTACATATTTTTTCCCTTTTTCTCTCACTCTCACTCGATGTCGCAGCATCAAACGCTAACCCTGCTTTCAAAAGCCGGCGGAAGCATTGATTCAATATTTTCTCCCCCGTGTTGCTGTGATCCTGAAACTGCTCCCTGACTAGATCTAGACGCACGGAGGGAAAATGACGGTGGCGACATCAAACGCAAACGTGTTGTGGATAATAACAGACACAGGCTCCTCTCTCTCTTTCTCTCCCATTTTTCCCTCCCTTCTTACCAGCTCCCTCCAATTCCTCTTCCCTGAACCCCCAAGACGTGATGCACACCATGAGCTCCATGCATACGTCTGGGTGACACCAAACGCCAAACAATTAATGGCTCAGATCCTCCTCGCTTTTTGGTAATGGGAATGTATTCATCTCCGGGATCATATCTCGGAGCCTGATCTTTCTTTACATGAGAGGAGAGAAGAAGAGGGAAAGAAAGAAAAGGGAGAGCAGTGGTGGCAATAGCATATAGGAGCAGTGGTATTATGTGAATTACAGCAGCAGGGCCAATACAGACTCATCTATCCTATTCAGCCCTCTCCCCGGCCATTCTGCAGACAGACAATCAGTGCACACTGGGACTGGCGAATGAGGATCACCTCCACTGGCAGCAGGGTCCTCCGTTTCATTAAAAAGGATTAAAAAAAAGGTGGAGGGATGAAGAGACGGAGGGGAGGGGAACGGGAGAAGAAGGGGGCTGGAGGGGGGGGGGGGCTTGCACTGCTGTGTCTGTAGCAATGAGCTGGAAAAAAATTTTTTTTTACATTTGCAAGCTTGTCCTTTTTATTTTATTTGCACAACAGCAAATGTGNGGGGGGGGGGGGGGGGGGGGGGCTTGACAGTGACTGAGATCTGGGGAGATATGAAGGCAAAGGGCAGTGGATTTTAAAAAAAATATGAAGGACAAGGATGGAGAGCAGGATGGATTCGGGGGGAAAAGAGGGAAAGGGGAGAGCAACGAGGGAGATCTGGTCAGATATGAAGGCGCAGGGTAATATGAATATAATGCCGCGTGGCTCTGTGATGTGGAAAGGAGGGGAAAAGAAAGGAAATAAAAAGAGGGTGCGATGCGGCCAAGGTGGATGTGCTATTAATAAGCCAATGTGGGGATAATTGAGGTATGGGGGTCTCTGAAAGCCTTTTTAAAAAAACCCCAACTCTCTTCAGTCTTTGATTCACTTTCATCACCTCCAATGTGGCCACGTTGATTGTGTGAAATCGGCAGGAGGGCCTTCAATTACTGCATCTTGTCTGTGGTCTTCATGCACAGGGACACGCACACATGCATTCATACATGCACAGGGACGCTGATACACACACACACACACAAAGGCAAACCTGCAAGAAAGCTGACATACACGCTTGAAAAATACACACTCATGAACAACGTGAATGCATACTCGCCTCTTCTGTACACCCATGCACACACACATTATGAAGATCCCTTGATTTGAACCAAATGACTGGGGAGAAGGAGAGAGGGGAGAGATGATACACAAAAGATAGAAGGAAGAAGGAAGCGGAGACGGAGAAGAGTGTTGATTATTCTCTTTGTCTATTTTGTCATTAGCAGATGGGAGCTCAATAATGTACTGGATACTTAATGGCAGCCACACAATGGAAAATGAGGGAGAATCCTACACATAATGGCATTGTGAATGGATTGGGGGAACTTAACACATGTGTGCGCAGAGTGTTCTGTGCACGCAAACGGGCCGAGATGCATTAGGTAGTAAACACGGAATAAGAGAATAATGGCTGCATATGCAAGTGCATACGTGAGTATTAAGTTTTAGACTTCGACATTGTAGTCTCACGACTGCACCACTGTAATAATTACGTATTTCCATTTCTTCCTCTCTGTGTCCCTCACTCACATATTCTTTTTTTCTTTCCGCTTTCATGTCTTGCTTATAAACAAATAAATTTGTCATGAAAGACCTGGAATACATCATTCATACCCGCGCATATACACACCCAGCTTTCATTCTTGGTCATGGACGGCTCTAAGCCCTTTTTCAACCAAGCCTTTATTTCCCATGATGCTCACTGGGAGTATGTGTGTGTGTGTGTGTGTGTGTGTGTGTGTGTGTGTGTGGTACTGTTGGTGTTTGCGTGTGACTCCGTGAGTGTTGGCGTGTCGCTTTCTTCGTCTTAATTAAAAGTAAGGTTCCATTGAGTCTCAGTCACATAACGGCCACTGGGAATATTTCTAATTATGCCCTACCTTTCACATCCCGTTCACTCTTCTATATGTGATTACTGACAGCGACTGGAGATTAACTGACAGTGGGGTGTATTTGCACATGATTACTGTTTGTCGAAGTTGACAGAAATAACTTGCGCTGTAAAACATGCATGTGTGATTGTTTGCGCACGTTTGTGTTGCTGTGTGTGTGTATGTGATGCCTTTAAGTCAAATGCAGAAATGTATAACAGCGTAGAGCTGAACTCTCTTGCATTCTAGTACAATTTCTGAGGTATAAGCACATATGCAAACACCCAGCACTTGCTGATATACACCCACAAAAACACCTACAGGCAAGCATTCTATACAAATTACCCCATATATTTTTAATATACACCAGAGAAGTACAAAGCACTAATAGCCTGTCTGCTTGCCTTGCATGATTTAGTGAGCAGCATATTAAAAACCGAAGCTATTCATTAATATGTAAACTAGTGTGCTGTCATTAATATGGGGTTGGGGTCGAGGGACCAGGGTGAAGAGGGGGAGATGCGGGGGCGATGGAGTCAAGGCTGCCGAGCCTCGGCTTGATTGAGTTTAGCAGCGCCTTTTGAAAAGGGTGCACGTGTGTGTGTGTGTTCGAATGGTTGTGCACGTTTTGTTGCCTATATGAGTGTTTGTCTGAGGATCTATGTGCATGTGAATGTTTGTGTGTGTGTGTGTACGCATTTGCATGTAATCTTGTGCGTGTGCCTTCCTGAAATCTCCAGGTCCCCAGGGTGATTAAAGAGAATAAATATGCTTGATTACAAATGTCCTACCTCCCCATCAACTCCCCTAATGTATGCAGTTTAATTGAGCGTCACGAGTAAAGTATGAGTTATGGAATGAACAGACAAGCCAATATCTCAGAGAGGCGGATGGGGGAGGCGAGAGAGAGAGAGAGGGGGAGAGTGAGTAATGTCCTCCATTTGGAAAAAAAAAAGAAATGATATCCATTCTTACAAAATGCATGTGTATAAATGGAACGTGTTACGCAATGTTGCCAGGGTTATGGACCCAAATTAGGACAATAGGATTTGAGCTTGTTCAGAAATAATTCCACAGTTTGTAGTTGTAAATCAGCCTTTGTGAATCTGATGAAAATCTGAAATTGAAGGTAGTGCATTTTTAGAAAAGACCTCAATTTGTGTAAAAAATGAAAAGTGTTGAAGATTTTTCAAGAATGATGACAGCGCGGGCTGCGTTTGTGTACGTAGTATATCACATTGAATGTGTATTTGTGTACTTATTTTCAAATTCAATTAAACCCACTGAGGTTGCACAGGCCCCACATCATCATCCATCCTGACAGTCTAAACCTTTCCGGCAATGGAACCATACACTTTCTGATTGGACGCTGCTTTGATTATTGTTGTCCAATCAGATTCAAGTGTAAAAATTCGTACCTGTAACCTCAGCGTAATGGCAAAGTGTGGGAACTTTTTCAACCTGTAATAATGTTGTTGTGTAAAAAAACCTTTGTTTTGCTATTTTACATTTTTACAACTTCAAACTTGGGAATCACTCATGAATATCATTTTAGAAGCTCACTTTATTATTGATCTGAGTTTGAGCCCATAAAGAGTAATCTGTAACATCAGCACCTTTAAATACTGTAATAAAAATATAGTTTCTTTTTTCTTCTACTCTTATTTGCACTGCTTTCCTTTCAATGTACACAATAACTACCCAACCGCCCAACAACCTCCTTTGTAAATATTAAGTGCATCACTTCCTTTGTGGTAGAGCAGTTATCCTAAAATGACTGAGCTGAACCACCTGCTGTTTTACAATGAACTGTGTAAACAATCCACATTAAAACCAAAGGGACTCTACAGAACATCTCTGTGTCAGCTTTCGAAAGATATATGATCATATATCTAAACTGTTTTAAACCATTCCACAGAATCAACGGTCACACACCCCCTTAATCAACTGCTTGCCCTGTACAAAATAATATGCATATACATGGTTTTTACTCCTCATCTGACCCACTGTGGCTCAAAGTGAAAAAAGCAGAAGCTTCATGAAGCGGCTATGTGGTGACTCACCGCTGTTTCTGTCAGCAGAGGAGAGCAGCCAAGTGAAGATTTACTTATATGAAATTTCCCCAAATTATTACTTTAAAATCTTCACCCAGATCCCCAGCAGTGAGAAAATTATGAACGGGAAATCTGTAGTTGGTATTCCTCTATTTCTCTTTCACCTCTAACTCACACTAACATACTGTCATGGACCAACACACTCACACACACACACACACACACTCACACAGAGCCCTGGCCCTTAGCTGGGTTTGCTCTAATTGGCTTATTGTCTTGAGGAGCCAGTGACAGAGGAGTGGGTAGGAGGCAGACTTTCATCGGAGGTTATTGAGAGAGATAGCTAATTTCCCCATGTTTCCCTGTCCGGTCCTCAGAGCTGCACACACACTGCAAACCCTCTCTAGAGGGATCATTAAGAGTCTGGCATTCTGACTCTCTCTCTCTCTACCCATCTCTCTCTCTCTCTCTCTCTCTCTCACACACACACACACCGTCTTCCTTTCTCTCAGTCAACAACCAAACACACACAGCTAACCTTTAGAGGAAAGTGAGACAAGGCTGGGGAGGTCCAGGGAAGACATGACCATGGTCGGAATACAGTTTTCTGTTCATCAGCCCTCTCTGAAAAAAAAAACAAAAAAACATACAAGTGTGTGTTCCTGTACTTATATCTTTGTGAGGACCATTTTAAGCATTGACCCCACAGAGTGAGGACATTTTTGGCAAATGAGGACATTTTGACCTGTCCTCACTTTCTCAATGGGGTGTTTAAAGGGTGAAGACTTGGTTTTAGGGTTAGGGTTACAATTGGGTTTAGGTTAGGGTAACGGGCTGGGGAATGTTATATCAATGAACATAGAAGCACAAATGTGTCTGCTTGTTGGTACTGTGCCTCCTTAATAATAAATATTTTATCAATTAAAATGTTGTACCTTTAGTTAATGTGAGTAAAATCAACAAAGATTAACAAAAGTGCAAAACATTTGTTACCATTTATTTTCTCATGACCTGTAAAGGGAACAGAAAACTGATCGATCCATAAAAGTGTTTAATATGCGTCACTATGACATGCTACAGACCAATTAATCCATCACTGTGGTATCTGCACCCACACCACATCTGAGAACCTTTTATGTGTATTATCAACTTTCTGTGTGCGAGTGCATGTCACAATGGTTCATGAGGAGAATGACAGGTGGGAGTTGGGGGTTGCCGGTTCAGATTGTTGTAGGGCCCACCAGCCAGTTGAAGTGTTGGGGGCGGGGGTTGCTTTGCAGGCCATAAAAAGCCGACAAGCCTCCACTGGGGATTTAGGAGTAGGACTACAGGGAGAGAAGGGGTACTACTAATTTACGAGCTCCTCTGCTCCTTGGTCAACAAAAATAAAACAGCTGGGGTAATTACTAATTCATTATTAACAGGCAGCATTATTTATGAGTGGCGAGAGGAGGTGCAGGCCCATGGTTTCCAACCACACCAGAGCCGGGATGATGTGGTGAAGACCCAGCCTGAGGCACTCCTACTGCCTACCCAGGCCTGATGCACCGTCCCCCTGAGTATGGGGCAAAAACTGCTGGCGGGCAGATGTCGAGCGCTGGAGAAAGCAGTCCACCACTTCTCTGTGACAAGAATCCATACGAGTTCTTATGATCATAGAAATACAGATCACTACCCTGACGACATACTGTATATGTCTTTGCCCACCCTTGCCTGTGTGTTTGTGTGTGTCCGTGAGCACGTGACTCTTTATGTATGCTTAAATGCATATAGTTAGACATGTATAGATTTTTTCCACACAGGCAAATCAAGATACAGAGCATATATCTAAAAGAATATATCATCTTCTTCCAAAGCAGCTACAGAGACCAAACAGGCTAAGAATTCAGCATATGTAAAAAATACGATATCTGGCATGCATCAATAGTCATTGAATCAGAGTTTTTTCTTTTGGCCCACAATGGCACATTTAGAAATACTAGTCGAAAGAGAATCAATCTTAATTGCGGTTTCTCTTAAATGCAGCCACATACTGTCACATTCTACAGAATTACAGAAAACCTCTCAACAGCAGAAATTCTAATAGCTCTCGATATGATGAGAATGCTGGTATTTTTAGGCATTTGATCCATCCTGAGGTTCATGGATTTAAAAGCTTTTGTGTTATGGCTGTGAAATGATACATTTGCAGGCCTGCTTAAAACTCAATTTAATCGTAGCTGCAGCATTGCCATAATGGCTACCCTCTATTTCCAGAGCTCTCCCAATCAATAACAAATTGCTGAAAGCACAAATGATTCCATTTTCTGCTAGGGGGAAACGAGAATGATGAGAAAATAGGTGAAATTGATATGTGAGGGAATATTATCAATGCTCTAAATGTCAGCAGGATGAGGTACTATGACCTTTCAGGGCAGAGGGTGAAAAAAACACAAAGATAAACTCCAAAATTCAGACAATCATTTCTAATGCAACAAATGTGAAGCCTGTTAAGGATTATTCTTTCTTAGCAATTGATGACAATCAACCATGATTTCCATTAAAGTAGAATATTGGTGTAACCAACATTTTTCCTTCTCCTCTATATCATCATCCTTATGATTCAGGTCCTTCAGTTTCCTGGAACTAGAAAACTGCAGCGCCACAGCACGGACCCACCACAAAGAAGTCATGCATATGAAGGCACAACAATGACTCTACCCCGTACGGTGATGAAGGAAATGTGGCAGAAGCCCAGAAATATTATAGTGGTGGACAGGAAATCTATCCAGATGTTCATGGAAAAGATCATCGGTGTGTACTTCCTACTATGTGGCCAGCTCACCCAGAGCACCAAATCTTCTCCACCCCCTGGTTGCCGGTATTGCAGCGGTCACACAAAGACAAGCAGGTTCAAGAAGTTAAACCCACAACTGTCTCCTTACTGGATTGATACTACACTGTGAACTTGGCTACATAGCACACAAGCAGTCACAAAGCACTATATTGCTCTGGTCACCTTATCACTTTAGTATATATGTCTTTATAGGTCTCCTTAGTTTTTAAATTGCTGTACTTTCTATGTACAAAGTGCTGAGCATTTGTTCCATTGTACTTGTTACACATGCCAATAAAGAATCTTGAATCTAACCATCGTTACTTATAGGGCTTGTAGTAGGAATCTGTAGTGTGTTGGACTGTGAGCCATTAGAGCCGATGAAACGCTTTGCAGCTATATACAACATCTGTGTTGAACACAGGGATGACACAGATCAGTTAAAGGTGCGGTTGCATCAACGAGAGGCTATAATGGTTCGGGTCAATACAGTTATTTCTAGACATGAGTGGAAAAATACACCTCACAACACCATGGTGCTGCAAAGTGCAGTTACAGCAATATGTTCAAAAGAGAGGAATTAGTCCAGTGGTTGTTATGAGCTATCAAGTTACTGGATAGCTCTGCAGAGTAAGCCTGTAAATCAACCTTATGTCATACTAAGGAATATTCATCTTGTTCTTACCTCTCCACCACACTAGTGTACCCTCATGTGGAGCATTACCGACAAGTAATGTGTTAACCTATTATGTACAAATGGGGCTCAAGTCATTTTCACAAGCATTTTACATGCAGTGATGCAATTATATTTTGGGTAATGTTTATATAAAATTACTAGGCTGACTTGTAAGTTATTAAAACATATATGCAACATTTGCACATACCTGCATTGAGACCCACCACAACAAAGCAACACCACAACCATTCACACACACACAAACACAAACACAAACCGACTCACTGGCAAAAGAACAGATGAATTCAGGGTCTTGACATAGCCATATTCAAGGTAAGGTTTTCTATTTAATACAAACTGACCAGACTTAAAACTCACACATGCTTCACCTTCAAGTCAATGAAACACTTATGCATTTATCAAGCTGTACGCTAAAAAGAGAAAATGTAAGCTTCGAATAAACATATATGTAAGCCATAGAGCCCTTTTGATTGAATAGATATTGTTCCCTATATGTCTGGTTTAGTATACGTGTATACTGAATGTGTGTTCATGTCCATCTCCTCAGCTCTTGGCTTTGAAGGGAATATGTATACCGCTTTTGTTATGAGCAAGGGCAAGTACATACAAGGAGAGTCACTTCATCTATAGAGTGTAGCTTGTTTGGAAATGTAAACGCTATGTTTAGGTTGTAAAAGACATTAGCTATATCAGGTATGTGCCATGTAAAGCTTAAATAGATAAGAAAGAGCATGTGACTGTGTTTAATGAAAAAAGCTGCTGCTGGGATATGTAGACTCCAATTTGGTGTCTCGTGTACGTGTAGTCATTGGGGATCTTCTATATTTCCCAGAATGGCTTTCAACATTTACCAGAGACAAACTGTTGTATTCAGCTTTGGGCTATGCATATGGGGATGTGAGAGCAACTGCAACGTAAGTGACAGGGGAAGTTTTCAACACTCAAACTGTGACTTATCCCCTTTGCCTGAATTGCATTCTGGTCTATGAATGCCACTGAGACAAATAAGAGGTGCTCAAGAATGACTCCCACATGTTGTTGCTATTATTCCACTTTCTTCAGAGAGGAATCACCATAACAACAGTAAATGACACCTACATTTACTGCAATTAAAAAGAAATATGTTGGCAAATGGTCACTTTTGTTCCAAGAAAGACACAGGCATCCGAATGAATTATATGAATAATGTGTAAGAATAATACTGTATGTTTTGACCAATATCTGATGTATTTAAAACATTTTTGCTACAAGTAACATTCAAGTACACCAACACATCCACAAAATTTACAGGGAAGTTCTTTAAGCACTGGCTGGGCTTTGGCAGCAGTTGAATAGAACATTTCTCTTTTTCACTTTACTAAAGGCATTTATTCTCTTAGAGCTCATTGCAGAAGGTAGAATTTTGTAGCAAATCTCTTGGTATACATACCTGAAAACATTCACAACACTTCCACTATATGCACTTCTTCAAAGGAACAATATCGGGTAAAAACTTTGACCTCTGTGTCATTCACTCTTGTGTCATTCATTCGCATGGACAAACATCCTCCTCCACACCCCCCCACCAATGTGTCAATATCATAATTTCTGTCATTACACAATTGTCTCGCCGCACAGAGCGAGGCCACACTGTACTAATTTCTCATAAGCAACAAAACAGCAATGTGTATTGTCCTCATCATGGCCAGTGCTCAGCAAAATCAATAATGACAGGGCACATAAAGCCCAGCCAAGGCCCTTTGAAACCTCGTTAGTCGAAAAACCTCCAGGAGATATGTGCAAATAAATGAAAATAAAATTAACAGCGCCCACTCTGGCTCCATTGGACACTGATCTGACCATTGCAAGGACATACCCTGCAGTGTTTTAAAAACTATCCTGGTTAATTATATTTACTAATGTGTGGGCCAGAGCAAAATTAATACGCCTTTACGTCTTCCATGTCTTGCTTTGGGTTGTAAAATAAAAAAATACAATAAATAGATAAATATGTCAAATGAAATTAATCATGCAACCTTTGAACTTTCCCATGTGCTCTTGGAGGCTAATGATGAGGGGGGTGAGTGTGTGATGAAGATGGGTGTTGGGAGG